CCGAGTGACTCCGCTGGGGTGTTGTCCTGCCCCGCTGGAGCCGGGCCTGGGTCGAATCGCCAGCTTGGCCACGGCTACGCACCTCCAGACTTCCCCACTTGTGTTCCGCTCCTCCTTTCTGTTTGGGACGGGTTTAACTCGGAGAAGGGCAGTGGTGCTTCTTCTGCACACGGTTTTCATGTCCATGGAATCAGACACCCCAACAATCCATCCCTCTGAGAACTGATTAAGATGCCACAAATTTGTTGGCAAGTTAAACAGGTCGCTTTCTCCCCTCGTCTGGCCACGCAATTATTCCTGCTTCCTTTCCTTGGATGAGGTTTTGCTGCTCGTGCACAAAGAAAGATCCCGGTAGGACGGACTTCAGGCTCTGTCTGGTACATGCGATCCCTGTCGCTGTGGCTTGTCTCTCCCCCCTCACACCCCCTTATTTCAGCTCCCAACATTCTGTGGCAAGAATGAAAGCTCTTTTAAAACAGCAGGGAGACGGCAAAGCAGCCCAAGTTGGTAGTGACTGAGAGTTGTTATTATCCGCTGGCATCCATGAAATTAATCCACAGCAGAGAAACTGCTTCCAGCTGGTGGCTGCCGGCCAAAGGGGCTTCACACTTACCCCAGCGTTGGCTGGCCCTCTCGCGGGCTTCCCTTCTTTAGTGACCCATGAATCCTCCAAGGATTGCTTGTAGAAGGGGTGTCAGAGGCAGCTCCCCAAGTTCCACGTGCATCTGAGGAGTTCATTTCCAGTGAAACAATCTGTTATGCTCCAGCAGCCTGGGGAGAAGTGGAAGTGCTAACAGCAAGGTTTGGGAGATAACTTGGAAAGGGAGGAAAAGAGTGGATGTGTAGGGATGCAGGTTGTCTCCTGGGAGTTGTTCATCAGCACCTTGGTAGAAAGGAGTGTGTGGTAGTGAGATGCTTGATTGAAATGAAGTTGATGTAACTGGCGGAGGCACTTCTGTGATCTGTGTAACTTTAAAAGCACCACTGTGATTCAACTCTTGGGGGTTTGTTTTGTTGGAAGACATAAAGACTATGTGGGTTTGCGGGCCCATAAAATACAGGGCAGGGAAGAAAAAACTGCCTAGTTGTTAAATAAAAAGCCATCTTGTCTGATTTGGGTTCTCTGCTGAGCTGCAAAATGCGAGGCTAAACCAAGTTGAGGGAGTGGAACTCGTGTTTCACCTCTAATGCAGAAATGGCTCCTTTGGGTTGGTTTTGGGAGCGATGCCTTTGGCCTGAGCCAGCGTTGGGATAACTTGATTCTTCCTTCATTTACACTGGCTCACTTGGCTGATGTCAGGGGGCTCCTTCTCATGGAATTACCACAAGAATGAATCCAGCCCAAGAATATCCCAGGAAGGATATCTGAATATTTCTCGTAGAATGCTCATATATAGCTGAGTTAACAACAGGAGCTCATGTCTTTGTGTCATGCTCCCATTTGAATTGTGGAA